GAAATAACTGATTATTTCTGTATTATCCCAAAAAAAGCAGGTAGTCTGCTCTTCTGAGTTACTTTCTACTTTGCCTGGGCTGAGAGGCTTTTTTTTTTTTTTTTTTACTTGTGAGACTGAACAGGCTGCATTTTAGAAAGAGCTGTGTTCAGCAATCTAAATAAAGATTGCACAGGCATGTCTGTTTCTGAAGCCACTGCACAGAGGGAGGACTTTCCAGAAGAACCCCTGAGAGCAAAGGTGTGGCACTAATCCTTGCACAGGGCAGATCCAGACTGGAAGGTTAACCCTAGGTACACTAGCAGCATGCTAAATTCAGAAACCATCCCAAAAGTTAAATAAAAATTGTCCACTTAGAAGCTGATTGGCTAGTTGAGCAGACTTCTTGTTGCCTGGGGAATTGACCTGCAATACCTGTGCTTGTCACAGCATAGAATTTGTAAATAAAGGAGTTGGATCATATGCATGAGTAAGGGCAATAGCAGCAAGTTGTCATTCCAGCCCAGCTATCCAAAACTCGTGGATTGTTGAAGAATAACCCAAATACACTGAGTTTCTCTGCTACATAGTCAGCATCCACAGAGAATAACACTGACAGGATGTGAAACTGTATTGCTCTGGCAAGTCTAGAGATGAGGCTCCATTATCACCATTGTTGATGTATCCATTGCTATTCCTTGATTCCTGTACATCAACCATTAAACACGCAAAATTTTGACCACTTTGAAGAATGAAGGATCCTCCCCCAAAATACTGGTACTTCTACGTACTCATTCTCTTTCCTATACCTATTTCCTGTGGGTTAGAGTGGATGGGTTTTTTATTTGTTTTGTGGGGGTTTTGTCCATGTTTTTGTTTTTGTTTATTTGTTTTTCGTAAATGTGCCTTTAAATGTACATGAAACTGATTTCTTGTGTTTGTGCTCCTAGCTGGAATGCATAGTCTGCTGAGAAGAAAAATGGTTTTTTTCTTATATGGGAGAGGAGCTGAGGAAGCACAAGAGAACGTGAGAATAAGAGAAAAGTTGTAATGGGAATAAGAAACAAACCAAATTAAAACTAAACTCTGGGAAAATATTCAGGCCAAGGAATGTAAAATAGAGGTTCCTAGTAGTTAGTGGAAAGCACATTTGACTGGGACAGTTCTTTTTTCTCCTCATGGCTGGTGCAAGTTTTTCAGGTAGCTGGCATATAACTTTAAAAGTGACTTGTATGCTTTGTTTCATCTGATAGGCGTACTTGGAACACCATGTATAAGCAAATTCACACAGAAGCAATTATGATTGTAGTTGGTTAGAGGATGACCTTAGGGATAAAGAAGACTTAGTAGAGATTGTAAACAAGTAACATTTTTATCGTGCTACTGTGGCTCATGTACACTACTATTTTTTGTTATGGTTAAAGGAGTGTTATAACAATTTAAGGAACAAGTGCGTTAATGCTGCTGCAATTTTGGAGAGGCTGAATTGAGAGTTAAGGTAGTTCACCTTCAGAGATCTCAAATTTCAGTCATTATGAAAGTGCTTTTTTCCAGGCATAGCTTATTCATTTCAAGGATTATGTTGTTGTGTAATTTTACTCAAGAAACAGCCTGGCTATTAGTAGACACTGGTGAGTAGAAAATTTGTTGTTAAAAGGGCTGTGATTGTGATAGTTACCAGAAGCCATGAAACAGACCAATACAACCTGCACATCAGTTTAGGAGTGAAGGTCTGCAGTTATATTGTATGTTTTATTTAATGCCCAGGCTTTGCCAGAGGCCCTCTGGAAAATCAAAGCATTGGTTTCAAGAACTGGCAACATGTTATCACAGATGGGACTTGAAAAGTCATAGATTTAACCTTTCCTACTTTGTTTCTAAAAGTACACATGTGGTCTGTGTTTGTCCCTCTTTGGAAATCCTTTTATTTTTAACTCAGATAACAGCAAGTGATTTGCTGCCAAAACATTATGGAACTATGCTGCACATAGCTACCATATTTTCTTGTCCTGACAAATACTACTTTCACTGTTTTTTTGGTTTTGTTTTTGTTTTTTTTTTGGGGTTTTTTTTTTGTTGTTGTTTTTTGGGTTTTGTTTTTTTGTATCTTGGCTTAAATAAAGCAGCATTTAATTGCGTTGGAAGCTAAACTGAGTAGACTGTATTGATACTCCTGTTCAGATCCCTTACACTGGCCTTGTTTTTAGTACTCCTGGCATATGGAGGCATGTTGACACGTGATGGTAGAATTTCTAGCTAACCATGCCATGATGGTGCATTTTCTCCCCCCAGTGTTTCCTTACATCTGCAATTACACCATGGAGAATAATATTCTTGTGCTGAAAATGTAATTTGGCTAAACACCTAAATTCTTGCGAGTCAGATAATCCCCACTTTGAAAGCACAAACACAGCATGCAATTTCCCTGAAAGAAAGAATAACTTAGTGGCAGGTATATGGACAGCACATAGAGGTTAACTCTTTATCCACTGATCTAGGTGGCAGAAATGTTGAGTCTGTGTTGATAGAGTGAATTTCCTCTTTCAGCTTGATAATTTGCATGAATTACTTGATGGGAAGAAGGGGGATATTTTGAATATCATTCTGTAAAATGAATATAATTCTGTAAAATTCTATCAAATTCTATTTTATATCATTCTGTAAAATGACCATGGTCAACAAGAATTTTGACAGGTAGGTTTAAATACTTGTAGTTTTAAATTTGGGTTCTCTTTAGTAAAAATTATTTAGTTAACAAGCCATCCAAGAATGGATAGTGAAAATAAATAGTGACTTATCTTATCCTTGTAATGATTTGCTGAGTAACTTCACGAGGTGGAAGTGTTTGTAGGAGGATGTACTTTGATTTCAAATACAAGCAGGGTGTGTAAACATATTTAAATCACTGTGCACATGGCAGCTTTGTTTGCTCCTAGAACCTATGCTAGACTGATTATATATTAGAAATCTCATGCAACAATTACATTATTGTGCAATTACTATCTTTAAAGGTTTGCTAAAATTCTTTGCAGTTTTCTTTCTAATACCATAGAATTTCTGCTATCCTTCCAATCATAGATTTTTGCCTTACAAATTATTTTGGTGCCATCTCCAAAAAGCACATTACAAGTGTGCTGCAGTATTGGGCCTGGCTGGCTTGCCTGCTAGCTGGATGCTGGCTGGGTATCTGTGGCTGTTCAGTTCCAAAATAGCCATTTTGTGGTTGTGAGGTTTGAGGGGGGTTTTTTGCAATATGATTCACAATTCACTTTCTTCAAGATCCAGCACCCACAACTACTTTTTGGCCAAATTTAAGACTAAAAGAGGGGACCCAGTAGTGACTGAGTCACTTCTGTTTTGTGCCAACAAGTTGCTCGTTTGCTGATTAGCCACCTGCTTTTGATCTGGATTATATCCAGACCTGCTCCAGCTGGCCAGAGAATGGGAATGTCAGCTGTAGTCAAGGATACCTGCAAAGCACTGAGAGCTGCAGCAAAGCATCTTTGAAGAGAAGCACAGGGAAAGGCAAATTAAAGGGAAGGCAAGGGAAAAATAGAGGCAAGGAGCCAATTTCTGATCTCAGCATCACTGATGTCACCAATACAAATTTGGTCCACAGAGTGCTGAGGAAATGAGAATAGAAACAGGTCAGAGGGAAAGGTGATAGACTAGCACAGGTGACAGCAAGGGGAAAATTAATCATGTCTCAACTATAATCTTAATGGCTACTCTGCTTAAACACTTGAAATGTCTCTTACTCATCCAAGAACATAAAATTAATAAAATCTTTCCTACAGTCTGCTTGTATTTCGTAGCAACTCCAGACAGGAATTTTTGCTAGTGGTGCACTCATCTGCAGATCCATTTGAAAAGCAACATGCTTTTCAGATCTGATGAAGAGGAAAAGGTTTAAATCTCCTCATGTTTCAAGTGAAATCTTATAGTAACAAACATACTTATACTTAAGGTCTTCTTTCTTGTAGTGTTCTACACATTTCCAAGGTTGCTTAATTTACTGGTGAATACCAACAAGTTTCAACTATGCTTTAGAATGTGTTTTTGTAGAAAATTGCAACAAACACACAAAAATTATCTTCTTGAAATATTTTATTTTGAAAAAGATCATGAAACTCTATTGGTGAATCAAAAAAGATGAAAATGAATGTAAGTTTGCTGCAAGGATTTTTTAGTTATTTCACTAGACTATTTGTTTTGGAAGTAGTTTTTCTTCTTCTAAAATAAGGAACAGAAAGTATGCATGAACAACCCCTCACCTGCTTTCAAGAATTCTTCAGTCTAAAAAGGTTGTCTTTAATTATTTGTGTACAGTGAGTCCATTCCAAATGCTTTAATTTTTTGGCCATTTGCCCCTGGAAAGTTGTTGGTTTGGTTTTTGGGTTTTTTTGGTAGATTGAGTGACAATCATAAAACTAAGGCAAACAGTCATTTTCATGTGTCTAGGTACCACAAGAGTTAATATAATTCAGTATGGTAATATACATTGCAGTTACTGACTTTAACTAAAGAGAAACAAGGCTTTGGAAATCTTTGTCTACTTGAATAGCAGTACCATTTTTTTGACGTGTCTGAGTAGTCCCACTGAACTGAGGGAAAGGAAGCCATGTCTCATATTCCTATTTGCAAATACTTGGAGGCCTGATCTAGCAATAAGCTGTGCTATGTTGGTTTTCTGACTGTTGCATTAGAAAGAACAGGGCTTTTTGCTGAAGTTTGGTTGTTGTTTTTTTTTTTTTAATTTTAATAAGTGTGAATTTATTGGAGATTGTCTTTGACTTGAAGCTGACAAACTTGGTCAAGTCTGAAAAATCATCTCTCACAAAAAAGAAAAAAGCAAAGAAAATTCTTCTTCCAGTTAGTTACAGTTAGACATAACTAAGAGATACTGTGTATTAAAATATATACACATACCCCTGTGCCTAGAAACAAAACTGTCATCTGAGGTCAACAGCTTACATTAATAATATATTTTAAATTCTCATTTCCTGATATTTCCATTTCAGGTTGATTTCTTTTGTTGTGTATTACCCCAGCCATGACAATTTGCAAGTGGAAGCAGTCTTACAGCCTCAGACAAGCCTCTGTGGAACAGCTGCTCACGCAGGATTGTCCTTGTACTTCAGCAGCATTGCCTGCAGAATTTAACACTTGTCATGTTTACAGATCTCCAGCTTGAAACCTAAACAGAGCAGGTGTGTGATTAGCTAATTAACACAGCCAGCTGAGCTTTCTAAAAATTAATTTATGTATAAAATATATATTACATATAGATACCAGTTTTAATACTTCTGGATGAGGTCATTCCTCCTAATTTGGAAGAAGCTTCAGTAGGAATAGGTATCTGTTAAGCAAGTCAACAGGATTGTATGATACTCTAATGAAAGTCAAATCATGTTATTTAGCAAATATTTTTGTTTAAGATTAGGAAATATCTGTAGGTTTTTGCAACTTCGTTCCAAAGTTGAAGAAATTTCAGAATGTAAGATGTCTTGCTGTAGTAGGTTTATAAAATACCTTAATGCTATTATATTGGAAAAATAAGTGTCATTGTTCTTTATTTTTCATTCTTTTTATTTCTGCATTTCTTGTTATTTCTTTATTTCTTGCAGAAATAAATTTTGTTTCCCTTCGCAGCAGCTGGAACTGAGTTATGCTTCATATCCTCCTAGTAAAATCTGTTTAAGTACAACCATTAGGGACAGAAATTTGCATTAAGCTGCTAGTATAAACTTCATAATGCTATAAATGCAGCCAGTCCACTTTTTACCATGGCAGCTTCTTTATTGGTCCACTGAAAAATGCTCTCCCTACAGTGATTCTCCTTGTAAGAGTGATCTGCTCTTTGTTGTATTCTTACTAGGAAATGTGAGTGAAACCCAGGATGTGATTGTACAGGTTTCTTCCCTTCAAGCTTGCTTGGCTTTTCTTTATCATCTCTTAAATAAAAAGTCTACCCCTGCAAAGAAAACCTTCTGCATTTGTCTGGAGAAGCAGTCATGAGATGATCATGTGCAGCACACCTGCATGCTTCCCTTTCAGCAGTTCATCCTCTCTTATCTGGCAGCTGCTGGATTGGAGGTGAACCCTGTCCTGCACTGGGTTGGTCCAAACCAGATTCCACTTCAGCTGTTCCTAAATAAAAGTAATCATCTTTCAAAGTTGAGGCTGCAGTGAATTGCCAACATTTGTTAACACAAAGCATACTTGTGAAGATGTGTATTGATGACATAGGACCATAATTCTCAAAAGGTTTGATTTCAGGCAAGTGCTTGTATTAACATCCCTCTTATATACCACTCATGGACAAGATCCCCCTGATGCACGAATTGCAGCCAGGAATAATGAGGACATATTAGGAGCTCTTAGGAAATGAGATGACACTTCAACATCACCATGACTAGAGTTTATGACTGATATCATAGTGGTGGGGTCGCTCTAATCTCTTGTGGAGTGATTTGCCACACATTACAGAATACATGCAGAAAAGTTATTGAATCATATATAGTAAAAAGATCCTGAAATCCCTAATAAAAATGTTTCTCCAAATTCTGCAGTGAAGAGTATCAGTTGAATGTGAAGGATATGTATCAGGAACGCATTAAAAAATCTGGTTTTGTCTAAGGATAAAAGCGCATTTGACCTCTTAGAAAAAAATGGAATTTAGCACAATCTGAATAAATATTTTTTTCTGTTGACAATGCCTCCTGTGCCCTAAAAGGATAGTCTAGTTGTTCATAGGATTTTTCTTTCATTTGTTGATTGTACAGACTCACAATTTCTCCAAGAGTAAAGAAATTGATACTTCAGCCTCATCTTTCTAGCTCATAGAGGTGACAGAGAAGACAAGATCCTCTTTCTAAGCAAGAGCATTCCATTTTCTAGCTTGTAGACCACAGATAACACAAGTGAAATTGCTTGGGAAAGTTTTCATGATTACTTGGGAAAGTTATGGAAGAGCTGCTTCATTCTCATTCTTTCTTAAATCAGGTTAATTTAAAAAGCAGCCTCTATATATCTTTAATCAAGCCACAGTATTCTTTAAGTTGCCTAGATGCTTTATAATCTCATGTAACATGATTTAGAAATTTCAGTCTTGATATGGTGTCAATAACAACATTAGCACAAAAGAATAAATTTTAAGTGTTTTTTATTCCATCCTGCATTTTCAAATTATTTGATTCTTTGATAGTTTTTTCAATCCAGTCATTTAGTCATTCCTGTGACTTCCTGTAGTTCAGAGATTCCTACATAATATGCTGCAGATGTTGAGAATAGGTAGAGGTTAAAAGAAGCGCCAAAATCTGTCTGTTTTAATCTTCACCACGGCTTGAAGTAAGAAAAACAGCAAGGAATGCTTTAAATGCAAGCTGAAAGTCAAAGATGCATCTGAAATGTAGGAAGTGCTTTTCGAACCCTCAAGGAACTGGATTTATATAATAAATATGCATAGCTTTTCTATAAGTCCTTTTGTATTCTGGCTTCTTCACCTTATGACAGGTTTGGTTGCAGGCAGAAGTTATTCCTTCAGAGTTTTGGTGATCCTGTCTAACTCTGAGTGTCACTGAAGTGGTGGAAAGTGGTGTATTGCTGCTTTCTGACAATGACTTGCTAGTAGCTCTTTAATGTAAATACCTATATTGCTTCACAGCTCGTGCAAGTGGTTTGCCCATAACAGGTTCATATTTTGTCCAGAAACTGTAATTCCATTGTTTTTTCCAGAAGATGGATTTTCACTCCCATAAAAATGTAGCCTGTAAAAGGCTGGCTATGTGTTGTGCTATGTGTTTCTCAAAGCTTTTCAGAAAGCTTTTAGAACAAAGATGTTTTTAGAGAAAAATATTTTTTAACTTCCAGGTATAACCACACTTCCAGATATAATTAGAATGTGATTAGGCTGGTTTCCCCTAATTTCAGTAATTTCTCAGCATTTTTGCTGTAACATTTTCCTAGGCATTGTGACAGAAGGGGAGAACTTAATATTCTTAGTATCTTTTGATCATCTGTGTCATTCAGCTTGTTCTGATGCATCTGCCATGGCAAAGGAAAGGCAGTTTTACTAGCTGGGGCATGTCTTTTTTTCCTGGTTATCTTTCTGACTGGAAATGTAACCTAGTACAATTACAGCAAGGAACATTGATTTGCACAAGGTTTTGGGTATTAATGACATTAAGCACCATCTGAATATAAGTTGCTCAGAAGAAGTCTGTGAAAAAAAGACAATCAAATAATTTTATGAGACTGGGACTTCCACAGTTTCAACTACCAGAAGTATTCCTCTGTGGGTTAGTTTCTTTTCTGAAAAATTCATGGACTTCACTTTAACAATCTTAGGTCTAAGAAGGAGGATGAAAACTAAGCAAAAATCCCCTAACAATTCTTAGCATCTGACAAGATTATAAAATGAGCACTTTCTGTCCAAGTAGTACAGTTGGTAGCATCACTACTCTTACAGTAAAGAATTTCTTCCTAGTAGCTCGTCTAAACATGCTCTCTTACGGTTTAAAGCGATTGCCCTTTGTCCTGTCACTATCTATCTGGCCATATGAAAAGTCTCTCTCCCTCTTTATTATAAACCCCCTTAAGGTACTGGAAGACTACAATGAGGTCTCCCCAGAGCCTTTTCTTCAGGATGAACAAGCCCAGCTCAGTGTCTCAGCTTTGTGTCATCTCTGAACCTGCTGAGGGTGCACTTGATGTCACTGTTGATGTCATTGATGAAGATACTGAAGACCATCAGACCCCAGATCTCTGTCTGCCCTGAGAAACACCACCCCTCACCAGCCTCCACCTAGGCATAGAGCCATTGACCACAAGTCTCTGGCTGTGTCTGTCCAGCAGATTCCTTATTCACTGAATAGTACATCCATCAAAGCCATGTATTCCCAGTTTGGAGGTAATGATGTCATTAGGGACTATAAAGGCCTTACAGAAGGAGACAGGAGATGTCTGTCGATCTTCCCTTGCCAATCATTGCTGTCTCTGGACCATAGAAGACCACCAGATTACTCAGGCATGATTTGTTTTCAGTAAAATTTGCTGGCTGCCTCAGATCACTTCCTTGTCTTTTCTCTGCCTCAGTATATCTACAAAGTAGATTGGTCCATAATCTTCCCAGACATGTAAGTGAGGCTCACTGGTCCATAGTTCCACAGATCTTCCTTTCTTCCATTTTTAAAAATGGGAGTGATATTTCCCTTTTTCCAGTTGCTGCACCTATCTGCCAGGACATTTCAAATATGATGGAGAGTGGCTTGGCAACATCAGACACTTTCCTCAGGAACTGTAAGTGCATCTCAAAGATCTCATAGACTTGTGGCTGTTCAGCTTCACCAAGTAATTCCAGACCTGTTCTTTGCTTATAGGGGGAATGACTTTGATTCTTCAACACCCACAGATTGGACAAAGGGACTTGAGAGAAATGGGAAGCTTTACTGCCAGTGAAGACTGAGGCAAAGCACTTGGTGAGTACCTCAGCCTTCCAGTTACCACCAATTCACCCTTCTCACTTACCAGTGTGGATACACTCTACCTGGCCTTTGTTTTCTGACCTATGTTCTTGTAAAAGTCCTTCTTGTTGTTCTTCACATCTCTTGCCAAGTCCTGTTCCAGCTTTGCTTTGACTTTCCTGAAGCCATCCCTACACATCCAAATTATGTCCCAGCAGTCTCCTCAGGTTACCTGTTTCTGCTTCCACAGGCCATACATTTCTTTCTTATGCCTCAGTTTGATGAGCAGATACTCAGCCATGCCAGTTTCCAGCCTGCCTTCCATGATTTTCTACACATTGGGATAAAGATCTCTTGTGCTCTAAGAGAGTTCTGATCAGCCCCTCTATTCTTAGGGGACCTCATTCACCTTTTTGTTTTTTTCCAACAGCTTGAATTCCACTCTTGCAAAGTTCGGGGTCTTCATTTTGCTCCTTGCCAGGCCCAAACTCCTTGAGATCATGAACTCAGCCAGGGTGGTTGTTACAGCCAAGGCTGCTTTTGATCTTAACTCCTTTGATGTGCTCATCCACCGCATTGGTGAGTACCAGGTACAGTAATGTCTCACCTCTGGTTAGTTTGTCTAATACCTGTACTAGAAGTTGTCCCCCACATTTTCCAGGAGTATTGATTCCAGCTTGCTGTATTGATTTCCCAGCAGATGACCAGGTGGTTGGAGTCCCCATCAGGATGAGAACTAATGAGTATAACGCTTTCTGTATCTGAAGATACAGAAACATGCAACAACATGCCTTGTTGACAGGCTCCCTCTGATCAGGCAGCCTATAGCAAACCCCTGTCACCAGGTGTCCTGTCCTTGATTTTCACCTACAGGGTCTCAGTCTCTTTATCAGGGGCAGCTCTTCACAATCTGACCCTGCCTTAGCATTGAGCACAACACCTCCACCCCCCTTCCCAGCCTGTCTCTTCTGAAAAGCTTGTGGCCCTCAGCTGCAGTGCTCCAGTCATGTAACTCATGTTCCATGTTTCTGTGATAGCAATTGGGTCATAGTTTTCTAATTGCACCATGGTTTCCAGCTCCTCTGGCTTGTTACCTGTGCTGCGTGAATTGGTGTAGAGGCAGTTGAGCTGGGCTATCCACCTCTTCATCTCCTGGGAAGAGCACTCTCTAATTCTTTCAGGATGATTTACAGGTATTTCCCTGCTGTTCCCTGAAGTGCTGTTGTTCCTGGTTCCTTTCTGATAAGCCAGTAGAGCATCCTCTTTCTCTACTAAATGTAGTTTAAAGCTCTTCTAGTATGTCCTGCCAGCTTGTTCCTTAGAGTAAGTGTCTGAATGCTTCAATACCAAGGCCTGGTTAAGAACAGCACAGAGAGGTAGCAGTGTTTATAAAATGTGTTCCTAATTCTGCAGAACCCTGAAAGCCAGAGCATGAAAAACCATCTGGAAATAAGAGAAAGGAAGGAATGTTGTGCAGAGTCTAATAAGGTCCATTCTTTTTTTTGTGAGAAAGCTGTTGAATGCATGACCATGTGCTCAACAACAAACAATGCCTAAATAAGAAGTAAGGACATCTTCTTAATAATGATAATCAAGGTCAACATTTTTAAAACTGCAAACTACTAATTACAGAAATATGGTGCCTAATATAACAGTCTTTCTCACAAGGAGAATTTTCTTGGCTACACCTAACAGTGCTTACCAGTGTAAATACTGGAACCATAGAATGGCTTGTGTTAGAAGGGGCCTTAAAGATCCTTCCATACAGAGTCATTGCCATGGGTGGGGACACCTTCCAGTAGACTAGGTTGCTTGGAGCTCCATCCAGCCTGGCCTTGAACACTTCCAGGGATGGGACATCTACAGCTTCTCTGTGGAACCTATTTCTGTGCCTCACCACCCTCCTAGGAAAGAATTTCTTTCTAATATCTTACCTAAATCTACTGTCTTTCAGTTTGAAGCCATTCCCCCTTGTCCTGCCACTAGAAAGCCCTTGTAAGAAGTCCCTCTCCAGCTTTCTTCTAGACCTCCCTTACACACTGGAAGACTGCTTTAAAGTCTCCCCAGAGCCTTCTCTTCTCCAGGCATAGTAAGTCCAGCTTTCTCAGCATGTCCTTATAGGAGCGGTGTTCCATGTCTCTGATTATTTGTGGCCTTCCTCTGGTCCTGCTTCAACAGGTCCTTCTTATATTGGAGCTCTAGTTACATTATTTATAATGTTTCCATAAGTGATTCATTCATAGATGCAGACAAAAAATAGCTCATTTTACCTTCTTAAGTCATGAGGGATATACTTGGACTTGAAAGCATAATTTCTTTAGAAGCTCTTGGAGAAGATTCAAAGCTGACCAAAACTCAGGTGTTCCCAATTTTGTTGATTGTTTAAGGTTTCCCTTCTGCAGAGTGATTTAAATTGGGCTGGCAAACTGAGTAGATGAAAACAGGCAGACTTTCATCTTATTTTCATTGTTTATGACAGATTGGGTGGTGCCTGGAGGAAGGTGCATGTATAAACAAGCTCTAAGGTAAAATATTGGCAAGTCTGCAAATGCTGAAAATTGAGCATGCATCATGCTGAAATGATGCTTTCTCAACAGAGAAAAACAATCTTTGTAGATGTTTGTCTCAGAGATGTTTCACAAGATGTCTAATGTTTTTGGAAGAAGTGATGCAGATGCCAGACTTGTTAAACTTCCTCTATTAACCTGCACCCACTGAAAATGAAATTAAATGTACTAGCTAGTAATTCCCTACTCTCGGTAGGGAAAATTTGTTTGTCAGTTTTGGCTAATTGAAAAGTGTTAGGTAAATTTAGATGAAACTCAGCCTCTTTTCCTTCCCTACAAGTTCTTCACTGCTATATCAATGTTTTTCACAGTCCTCAGATTTGCAAGAGGTTCTTTTTCTTTTAATGCTGAAAAGTGAGAATTTGCTTCAGCTATTGCTCAACTCTTTCTGTTGTGAACCTTCCTTTCAGAAAATATGTCCAACTTCCTGCATCTCTCTCGTCATGGGACACAGTATAACTCTGTGCTAAACTTAGTTTCAATATGCTGAATGGGTGTTTTCCTAACTTTTGTAAATACTTGAATAATTTTAGTTTAATTCCATTGCAAATTTTCACTCACAGATTTGGGTAAATATGATATTAACTAGCATTTTCCCTTTCTCTGTAATTTTGGGAAAATGAGCAAGTATTGCCCTTGGCTGGCAGTTAGGACAGAATTGTTAAGTCATTTAAGTAAATTGTTAAGTCATGGAAGAGTTTAGGCACCTAGAAACTAAGTGGACATATGGAATCCATGAGAGCAACACAACAGAACCTTAGCCACTGAGGTGGGTGGGCATTTATAGCAGAGTCAGGTACAGCAGGTTGCTCAGTGCTGTGTCTGCTTGGTTTGAATATCTTTAGGGACAGAGACTACCATCCTCTCTGGAAAACCTGTTCTTGTGTTTGGTCACCCTCACAGTATTTTTTTTCCCTCATGGTTAAATGGAATGTCTTACTTTGATCTGTGCCTACTGCCTCCTCTTCTTTCACTGGGTATTACTGGGAAAGTCTCACTCTATTTTCTTTATTCTCTTCTGTTGGGTGTTTATACACATTTATAAGACCCTCCTGAGACTTCTCTTCTTCAGGTGGAACAGTTCCAGCTCTCTCAGCCTCTCTTTCTGTAAAGGCTGCTCCAGTCCACATTGTTTGTGGTCTCTCATCAGACTCAGTCCAGGACGTTCAGTGTGGCGCAGACCTGGACCCAGCATCCACGTGTGTATCACCAGTGCTGAGCAGGGAGAAAGGATCTCATCGCTTGGCTTACTGGCAGTGCTCTTCCTAAAGCAACCCAGGATGCCACTGGCCTTTTTTTTCTTCAGGGGCACACATCTGGCTCGTGGTCAGCTTGTTGTTGATTCAGACTCAGCAATTCAGCACATTTTCTGACAAGTTGCTCTGTAGCTGTTCAGCCCCTGTGCGTGGCCCCACTGTGTGGCAGACTCGTGTATGTCCATTTTGCACATAGACCTATTCAAGTGCGTAGGCACCTGAGTTTTCATCATAAGGTACTCTAGGTATGTATCTGTGCCTAGGCTGCAGCTGGCTTGACAGGTCTGAGGGCTGCATTTCAGGTCATGCCTGAGCCTGCTCAGAGGTTCTTTGATAAATTATCCTGTGCCTGCAGCCCCAAAGGGATCCAGTGCTGTGACTGTGTTTTTAGCATGCACCTGAATGTGTACTGCTGTCAGTGAATCATCCCAAAAGAGAGCAGCTGTAATCATTCTCCTTCTTAAATACAGCTGCCAGTCCAGCTAACTTTTTTTTTTTTATCTTTAATGCAACAGGACTTGCTCAGCAAACAAGGAACCAGGTTTCTTTGTCTTCGGCAGTTTCAGGAAGTTCAAAATCATAGCTTTCAGAGAACCCAAGTTCAAATTAACTCATTTTCTTTTTGAGCCAATGCATACATGCTGTTGATCATCCCTGGCATGACAGTACTTCTAAGAGCTCAGTTAGGCTGGGTGCTTGTTTGTAGGCCTGCAGGAACAAGCTGTCTTTCCGGAGGTGCTCTGATACCATGGCAACTGTCACTTTACAAGGAGACAGATAGCAACCCAAGCCCCTGAGCCATCCCATTGCCCGGAGCTACTGAGCCTTTACTAGTTCCAGTAAACATTAGAGGTTGCACTAAGCCTGATGTGATCAACTGCAACTCCAGTGACTTCAAAGACATTTGTCCCACTGTAACCCTCACTGGAATTACTATTTCAGTGACAGTGAAATAATTCCCATCAAGTACAAATTACTTAGAAGCTTTTGGATAGAACTTAACCATACAAGTTAAACCTATTTGTCATAGCTATTATCAGTGAACTGAAGACAGGAAGGCAATCTAATTTTACTGTTTTATTCAGATGTAAAAGTTGGACATGGCTACACTACAGGTAAATTCCTAGAGAGAGTTTCCATTACAAACACAAAATACTGTCAGGAAAGCAGGATCAGGGTATATTAGAAAAATTAATTTCAAGCAATTTACATCTGTTCATTGCAAAAGCAATTTGTCTTGCAGCTACTACATCAAGAGAAATAGAGAGGCATTTTTCTTTGTTCTGAGAATGTAGCAAAACAGTGAAAAGCAAGGGGAATGCCAAAGGCCAGACTGAAAGGATTTATGGGTTTGCCAGATAGGTCAGAGTCAGGACTGTCTGCCAGTTAGTGGTCTGAAGCCATTTACTAGGTCTGACAGGGATGAAGGTTTTTTCACTATAACAACTCCTGTGGTGCTGATAACAGACCAACATTTCAGATGCTGCTGAACAGCATTGGTGCAGCATGAAAGCATTCACTGCTCACTCTTACCCCAGTGAATAGATTGGAGTGTGTGAAAGGTAGGGAGAGGACACAACTAGGCATATGACCCAAACTGACCAAAGAGATTTTCCATGCCCTACAGTGTCACGTTCAGCAATAAAAGAGCGGGAAGAGTGGAGTTAGGTAGGTTAGCTATCTATTGCTTGGCAACTGATGGAGCATCTGTCTTGCATGGGAGGTGATTAGTGATTGTCCTTCTATCATGAGCTCT